CGTGCTGCCCGCGCCCCCCGCGCGCTGCCCGCCCCGCCCCGAGCAGCCCCGCGGGCTGCAGGGCTGTGCCATCCCCTCCTGCTCCGGAGTCGCTCCGTCACTACCAGTTATTCCAAGGCTGACAGCTTGGATGAAGCCTCAAACAAATGTTGTTAAAATAATATTAAACAATGCTTTGGGATTATTATTTCTTTTTAGAGTTTTATTAAATACACTGCGTCGGTAACTCGCACTCCATCATCTTGTGATCACTCACAGCCTGACTTGCTTAAAAAGGTGTTTTATAGAAAAAAAATCTGCAAAATTAAAGCTAAAAAAAATACATATTACACACCTCCGGACAATCCGCATGTTAGCAAAGAGTATCTTTTATTTGCTGACCTGCACATGTGCTTAAACAAGGAACATACTCATGAAACAGGACACACTCCTTGAATATGGCCACACCTCAACCTACTCGGAATGAAGGAAAACAAGTGCAACCATGCTTATTGCATGTAACAACAGAACAACAAAAACTACTTTTTATTCCTTTATGTTTTTTCCCAAACTCATCCCATTTGTTCTGTTCCCACCACAACAAACCATCCAGTGGTTCTTCCTGTAGATCGCTGTCCCTACACTGCATGAAGCAAACTTGGTATCAGCTGATCTGTGTTGACACTGAAGCATGCAAAGGAGGACGCTGCAGGTGCTGGCAATGCACATCTACTAACGACACTGTAGCTGAACAAGGTGTCCCTTTAACACTGCAATTCTACAGCCTTTACCTGTGGTGGATGTTTCCGGTGTTCCAATTATAAAACAGCATACAATTCAGAAACAGAAACAAAGAATTCTGCAAATTGTTTTGTGTTTTCAACTCTTCACTCCCTCCCAGAGCTGAGTCTAGCGCCGAAACCAAAGCCAGCTATTGAGGAGCCAGAAAGCTACAGTGATGGAATACATGATCATTTCCCTTTTAGCACGCTCCTTGTTCTCTTCCTCCAGAAGCTGTAGACGGCGGTTCAGTTTGATTATCTAAAAAAAAAAAAAAAAAAAGCCTTTTAATACTTCCTTAAAAGATGCCAGAGTTTCTAGAAGCTTCTGAATGGCCACGTAAAATTACTATTTCAGACAGATGGATTTTAAACACTTGGTAATTTAACATTCTACCTTCAATCTCTAATGATCAGATCTTGCTGTCTCTAGTAAGTAGGAACAGAAGTGAGTCAGACTCTCCGGATTCCCAGAACAACACGGGATATGTGAGGGCAGTCCAGCAGGGGTGCAGAGAGGAGCCCTCACCATACCTGTTATGGACACCTTTGCAGCCACACAGAAAACCTGCTCCCCCATTTTACCACTACAGCTTTTTCTTAGTATTAACTACGATGCTTTACATACCTGTCGCCTTAAGGAAGCAGCATCTACAACTGTCATGTCATCTGGTGTTCCCTCGAGCGTAGTATCCAAGTTGGAAAGACCATACCTATCAAACAGAAGAGATAGCTTAGCTGTCTCACCCACACAAAGATTAGTAAGTACCATATTTTGTCAACATTCTAGTAGATCTAATTCTTCAGTCACTACCAAAAAAATCATGAAACCTTTCTCAAGCTTTTACAGAGTGTCTGCTTCAACAGGACCCTAACAGAATAAAGCACAAACACGTATCACAGAATCACTTAGGTTGGAAAAGACCTTTAAGATCATGGAGTCCAAAAATTAACCCTGGTCTACCAAGTTCAGCACTGAGCCACATCTCCAAGCACCACATCCAGACAACTTGTTAAGTGTGTGTTGTGGTCACTTGAATGCTACCTCTTAACCAGATTATTTTCCAACAACTAAGAGATAAAAATAGTTCCCGATGACATCCAGAGGGACCTTAACAGGTGGGCCTGTGCAAACTGTATGAAGTTCAACGGGGCCAAGTGCAAGGTCCTTCATGTGGGTTGGGGTAATCCCAAGCACAGTTACCAGCTGGGCCAAGAATAGCTTGAGAACAGCCCTGAGGAGAAGAACTTGGGGGTGCTGGAGGACAAGAAGCTCCACATGAGCTGGCAATGTGTGCTTGCAGCCCAGAAAGCCACCTGTACCCCAGGCTGCATCAAAAGCAGCATGGCCAGCAGGTCAAGGGAGGTGATTCTCTCCCTCTACTCTGTTCTTATGAGACCTCACCTGGAGTACCGTGTCCAGCTCTGTAGCCCCCAACACAGGAAGGACATGAAGCTCCTGGAGCAAGTCCAGAGCGGGGCCATGAAGATGCACAGAGGGCTGGAGCACCTCTGCTATGAAGACAGGCTGAGAGAGTTGGGGCTGTTCAGCCTGGAGAAGAGAAGGCTCCAGGGAGACCTTAGAGCACCTTCCAGTACCTGAAGGGGCCTACAAGGACTACAAGGGCATGTAGTGATAGGAAGAAGGGGAACAGTTTTAAGCTGAAAAGAGGGTAGATTTAGATTGGATATTAGGAAGAAATTATTCTCTTTGAAGGCAGTGAGACACTGGAAGAGGCAGCCTGGAGAAGCTGTGGATGCACTCTCCCTGGACGTGTTCAAGGCCAGGTTGGATGTGGCTTTAAGCAACCTGATCTAGTGGGAGATGTCCCTGACCATGGCAGCAGCACTGGAACTAGATGATCTTTAAGGTCCCTTCCAACTCAAACTATTCTATGATTCTATGCTGCACCTACCATTGTGTTTCTCACTTCTATCTTGAAACCTCAGTTTCCAATATTGGTTCCCCTTGACTTGCTCTCTCATTAGGACACATGAACAACTGCTGCAAACAGCTTCAGGAATTGAACAAAATAATACCATAGCTACGACATTCACAAGAAACTACACCTAAAAGAATGTCTAGCATTTAGTGACAGTTAATGGCCAACCTGGACCACCATGAATAAAGTAGAATTCCTGAAACTTGCAGAAGGCACTTAAGTGCAGATACTACTTTTGCACTCCAGGCTTTTTCATCACTTCCATCACACATTTATAGAATGCCTAAATGCCCTCAGCTCAGGTAAGATCCCCATCCTTTTGCTCCCCCTTCCACAACTTGTCAGAAGTTTCTCTGTATCACTGTTAATTAATATATTGTTTCTAAATAAGAATTTATTTCAAGATGAGAGTTGCATTAGTCTGGACTTAGTGACCAGTAAGATCCTTGAGCAATAATCATATAAAAGATAGAATGTTAATTGCATTTTGATCTGTGCTTTTTTGTGTTGAAGGGAATGAAGGAAGTGGGAAGCCTGCTCCAGGTGAGATCAGGATAAAAACAGCTTTTAGTAAGGGAATAGTCAGGTAAGCAACTGGCTGTCAACAGAGTCATGGCTGTTTTAAAATCAGAGTATGGTACACAAAAGAAAGTATTGGTAACTCCTTTTCAATTCCTTTTATTAGAAAAAATATTTTCTTATTAAGGCCATTATTAATCTTTGTTCTAAAGATTCTTCAAAGATTCACTTACCTAAAATTTATGCTACCTGCTACTTGTAGTTCTTTCTGTTTGGGCAATATCAAAATGACAGAAACTTGTTTTGTTTTCTAATTTCCTCAGACCTGTGAAGCTCACTTTGCTACCTCAGCCAAGTTATTTTAAAATAAACCAAGGTTAATTATAAAGCAATTTGAACATTTCTACTTTTAGAAAAAGTCTGAAGCTTTGCACACACACAGTATCAAGTTATCTTTACTACTGCAAGTCCTCTGAAAGCCAAAGAGATTTCTGAGGAGTCTTCTCTACAATAATTTTTTAATTTGTAGTACATAGTCTACTTTTTCTAGCAATATAAATGTGAAACTCACGACTAAGCAGAAAACTCTTGCAGTATACTGCTAAAGTAATTCAGAGCCTCCCCTCACACACTACTTCAATCTAGAATTCTGCAGCACATGGTATCCATTAGACAAGTGAGGTCTTTGCAGGTGACTTGGATGGGTGAGGAATAAAGTATCTGAGGAGTTGAGAGGCAGGAGAGAAATGAGCACTGTGTTTTAAAGTAAGGACACTAGAAATAGGGAAACAGAAGTCTTGACTTCTGGAATGTGAATTACTAGATCATGACTAACAAAAAAGTACTCTTTACCTGGTGTTGTCATGATGAGGGTTAGAGGAAGTGGTAGCAGCTGACCCACCACGTAACACTGGCCTACAGCAGGTTTTGCAGGTAGAAAGGATGAGACAAAAACAGGAAACGACAAACGAGACAGGAGGCAAAACACACAGAAGAGAGGAACATCAAAATACTTCCACCTGTATCATATAATGATTCAAAATAATAGAACATCTATTCATTTTGTTGTAAATGGCACTTTCCATATTTCTCTTATTCAATCAACACTGAATGTTTATGCAGCTAAGACATGCAGGCAAATTTTTGATGCTACAGCTAGATTTATGGATGACAAACTGTTGGAATAGAGATCTGGGGGGAGGTTATCAACCTTATAAAATAACCATAGGAAACTTCAAGTCTAAAACAAAAAAAAAAAATTCCCTCAAAAACCAAAACCCTACCCAACAACAATGAAAAATACTATCTACACATACTTATTTTTTACTTTTATTTATTAATCTATGCTAGATGTAATTCAGAAAACCTAGACTGCCTATGGATTTTATATAGTCCAAAGAGAGGTAGATCTCTCCAGGAAGAAGTGACTAAAAGCTTCAGGGAGATTCTGTGAACATCCTTGAAAGTCTTGCTCTTTCCATTTCTTTTCCTTTTCTTTCAAGACCAAAAGGAAGTAAAAGTGGGAGATTTTTTTAAAGTTGCTGCAACTATGTATTATACATTAATTTTGCAATAAGAAGTTACTGTGTCCCAATTCACAGAAGACACGAATACCAGCAGTACCCTCTGACAAAGCTGGCACCATGTGCCTGCAGTACCTCAGGTAACCAGGCATGAGTGATCCACATCAAAGATGTAGAACAAACTGTTCAAGAGCCTGAAATATTTGTTAATTTTTTTTTTCCATGTTCCCAATGCCAACAGCAGGTACTTGTACCATGCATTGAACCCATGTACACTCTAGGACATCAAATTAAAGACAAAGAGAATCTAGGTATGAAGATCTTTACAGCAGGTGTATGTAGGAGGCAGAGGTTTGGTGCTGAGGTGGCTGGGAGAACACCTGAAAACGAGCAAGAACTGTGTGAAAATATCACAACCACTAGTATAATTTAAAAGGATCAGGATCTAGGAGCCTTCACGAACTCTGCTACCCAGTACACTACTTCCTGGAACCAGCTCCTACTCTAATCAGCTCTGTAAATGCAAACCACAATGTTCTTCTGTCTGTCACAGAAGATAAGCCAGCATGATGTTTTACAAAACAGAAACACCCACTCCCAATACATACAAGAAAATAATATTCTTACCTAAATGCATGAGGTCTTGCAGAAAGTTACCAAAAAAGGAATTCCTATTTTTTTTAATCACAGATATAATTCAGCTAGTCTAAAGTCTTGTCTGACAGATGCTAGAACTAAATACTTCAAGAAAGCATAAGAAACTCAGCAAACAGCAGCTACAGAACAGGTCACAGAATTTCTCTGCATCTGTAAGTCACCTGTAATGAATCGCAGGTTGGTGCAGCCTGCCTGGCAGTACCAGCAGGCATCTCCCACACCATCTGAGACAGGACAGCAACATTTGGATTGTGTGTCATGAGAACAACAAGTGTCAAACGCTCTCTAAACTCTTTGTCTTTGTGATCTTTTAAGGCAAAAAAAGTTTTACAGATCATGCAGAACTAATCAATACTAACTAATCCACACTACCCTTCCCAAGGAAAGCCAGAGGCTTGGAGGTAGCTGAGCAAGGAACAAAAGTGGAACACTCTGGGATCTGTGCAAATCAGGAACTTAATCTAAAGACAAGACTTTAATCCCACTTCCCAACACAGACAGGCTGGTAAGAAGCTGCATTTCATTTCTTCCTTTTCTTTGCAGTTCAAATTTTATTTCTTTACAGGTGGACCCAAAAAGGATCACCAGAATATTCCCCTGCCTCTTCCACACTTTTTGCTTGCTTGGTTTTATAGATCAACCAAACCAATCATCATAGAGATGACAGGGGCCTTGTATCAGGGACCACCACCTTACCTCAAAATCAGCAGCAAGATTTTTGGCAAATAGAGAATGCACAAGTGTAATGTAGTCAAGCTAGTAAATACATGGTCTTTTTAAAAAAAGGAGTAAGACTACATTAAAACTTTGCATTTTCTGGCTACTTCTGTCAATTCCATCCTAAACATTAATAAATGATCAGAAGAAGCCGTAACTCTGAGGCCACGTTTATTCAACACTTAAAACTTTGTTGCAAATACAGCCACAGCCTGAAACATGATGGGTAGACCCAGTAATACAGTTTAGTAACTGTGGGAGGGCCATGACCAAATTAATCTGGTCTTTCTTCTGCTGGTTAGAACAGAGCACACCATGGAAACACCACAGTAATGGTGCTATCATCAACACGTCGTCTGGGAGGAAAACAACAAGGTGTGGACAATCGAGGTACCTGGGTCTAACTTCCATCACTGCTGTGCACACACAGGGAACCGAGGCCAGCAAATTCTCTTGGTCCCGCAGAGGCAGGAGCAATGTTCATCTCTCACTGTACTTTAAAAGACCTCTGGAAATCTCAGAAAGGCTCTAAGAATGGGCATAGGGACTTGATGGACATGTTCTAGATGTGAACTAGGTAAGCAGCTCAGCTTCTGAAGGACAGAAAGGATTGGTGCCCTGAAGAATCAGTGGATGGATGGAACTGCCCTCCTTCGGTGTCTCAGTACTATAAGCGGTTGCCTCAACAAAGCAATAGGCTACTGGTTTTTCCCAGGCTCCTTCACACTTGCAGACCCATTTAATTTTCTCCTGAACTGTAACAATCCAATCCAAAGTCATGTGCAGCCCTCTTCGACAGTCTTAACACACGTCCCCCTTTATTTCTACCATGAAAAAGATCACTAACTTGCTCAATATAAAAAGTGATCTCCTGACACCTCAGGAGATGATCATGTGAGTGAAGTTTGCCATTTAAGAAGAACAGTGGCTTTTTAGAATGGACTATCCTGACAAAAGGAAATAGTAATAAATTTCCATACTTTTTTTCTCCTAAATAAAAAGGTATTGAGCCAAGGGATGGACACGAGCTCAGATTAAGTACAGATTTCAACGCAACTCTATTCAGTTACGAAATTGCCTTCTTTCCCCCCTGTATTTCACACATCACAAAGATCTCCTTACATTTGTGTTTTTTTTCTTGCCTAGGGCATAAAAGATTAGTCTTTAAAAGACACTAGGTATAGGCCCTACACTCATTTGACAGAAATTGAAACAGAAAAGTGGTTAGAACTGGAAAACACAACTGACCTATTGTTCTTGTCCATGCTGAAGGAAATGCAAGAGTAAACAGACAGTGTAAACAGTGATCATTAAATTGTTGCTCATTTAAATAACTGATTATGCAAGCAGTGCCAGCTAAACCAGGCATAATTCATTATCTGCAGCAGTACAATCCACACTTACCATCAGCAGTTTTAGTAAATTGGAAAATTATTTTGTAAAAAAAAAAGCAAGCCATGAAACAAGTTAAAAATATTTCCACTAAGACACAGCTGTATTTTGTTAATTTTAAAAGACCTCTTGTTGTATTAAGCACAGAATGTTAAAATACATAAGGCTTTGGGATAGAAAGCACATTACACAGAGCAAAAGAACAGAGTGCAGGTTTGGAGCAATTTAAAATGAACAGTATTTTGCAATCATGCAAGTGGATCATCCAAATTTCACATTCCTACGCCAGCTGTAGAGTAATCGGTGGGTATCTAAACACCCAACTACAAAGGATACACTTTCCTCTATTGAAAATATCATTATTTTGACATTTGTTCATAGACGACTAGAAAGCTTTCCCTTTTCTTTCAGGAAGGTTAGTAAGAGCATCTAAAAAAAATCAACCCAAGCCAAGAAGATTAATGCATCTGTTAAAGTATTCAGAACCCCAGTAATTTCCTGAGAATTGAAGCAAGTTTAAAGTGTATGTCTGCATAGGTGTATGTTTTCCAGAATCCAGGAGAAAGTAAGCAAGAACACACCTAATAGAAGCCAGGAATGAAACCCATTAGCTTCACTGCAGACTGAGGAAAGGACTAAAATGTCAGTCTGTATTTTAACAAGGACACTTGGCACAGTATCCGTAAGTGGTATTAATCACACAATTCCTGAATTCCTATAATTTCTCCTTATCTGGGAGCTTTAATTTTATTTAACAAACATGTAATTCCATCTAATTTTTTATAGTGACAAGGAAAAAAAAATAGGTATTGCTCTCCAACTGTTGAAAGGCATCAAAATCTTAACAGCTGCAATCTGAAATTTCACAGGATTAAGTCGAACACCCAACCTGCAGAATTTCAAGGGGAACTATGCAGCTTATTTATTTAAAATTCCAGATTAAGAACATAAAGACCAGTAAGTCTAGAGTTCTTTACAAATCAGGAATGTTAAAATGGGCATTTATATACTGTCAGGTCAGCAAACATGGTGAGCTGCAAGAGGCAGCAGCTTGGAAAGTGACTGCAAACATACAGACACTCAATAAAATCGGCTTGGTAGTCATGTTTATTACCAAAACAACTATAAACTTTAACTACAACTATAAACTTTAACTTTACACTGCAAAATACTATGAGTGCTGCTAGGATATTAGCAACCAGAGGCAGATGGCAAATTTCAAAGAACTTCCTAGCACGGGCCACATGGAAGGGCTGCAGGAGGAATGAGCAGCTCCTCCCAGTGTTCTTTCCAATTATGTCCTCTAATTCAACCTCTTGTCACGCCCATGAGGTCTCTGCTAGCCCTACCCTAGAGAAAACTGTGCAGTTTTTACCTGAACCTCCATGCTGGCATACTATCAAAACGAAAATTGCTTCTGGTAAATTAACCTTGCCAGTATTAGTCTTTATAAGTGTTCCTATAGTGTTAAACATGCCATTCTTGTAACACTTAAGTGCCAAATCAGAACAGTCCAAGGATTCATCCAGTGGGCAAAACTCCACTGGAGAGAACAGAGACATTATGCAATGATTGCCAGGGGGCTTGTTTTTATCTCGTTACCTCTCAAAGTATCAGCTGATGCAT